CCAAATACTTTGTTATGTGAGATTACCTGAACACAGTGACAAAGTCTTTGTTCTCTGAGATAACTTGAACAGACTACGAAATATTGTGTTATGTGAGATTACCTGGACACACTAGCAAAGTCTTTGTGATGTGAGATTACTTGAACACACTAACAAAGACATTGTTTTGTAAGATCAAAAACTGTGGTCTGTGAGATAAATTTGAACCCTCTAACAAAACTCGTGTTATGTAAGATTACCTGAACATACTTAAAAAGTCTTTCTTCTCTGATATTAATTGAACACACTTATATAAACTTAATTGGGTGAGATAACTAGAACACACTAACAAAGTATTTGTTCAGTGAGATTACTTTGACACACTCACAACGATTGCGTTAAGTGAAATATCTTAAACACACTCACACACATCGTGTTCTGAGAGATTACTTGAACACTCTAACAAAAGCTTTGTTCTGTGAGATTCCCTCAACACACTAGCAAAGTCTTTGTTAAGTGAAATTACTCGAACTCTCTAACAGAGACAGTGTTACTAAAACTTTGTTATGTTAGATAACCTGAACACACTTACAAAGGCTTTGTTATATGATATTACTTGAACTTGAACAGACTACCAACGACTGTGTTCTTTGACATTACTTGAACACACTTACAAAGACATTATTCTGTGAAATTACTTGAACACACTTACAAACACTGTGTTCTGTGAAATAACTGGGAATCACTAACAAAGTCTTTGTTCTCTGAGATAACTTGAACAGACTTCGAACTAGTGTGTTATGTGAGATTACCTGGACACACTAGCAAAGTCTTTGTTATGTGAGATTACTTGAACACACTATCAAAGACATTGTTCTATTAGTCAAAAACTGTGGTCTGTGAGATAAATTGAACCCACTAACAAAAATCGTGTTATGTGAGATTACCTGAACACACTAACAAAGACTTCGTTCTGTGAGATTACCTGAACACATTTACAAAGGCTTTGTTCTGTGAAATCATTTGAACACACTAACAAAGACTGTGTTCTCTGAGATAACTTGAACAGACTACAGAATATTGTGTTATGTGAGATTACCTCGACACACTAGCAAAGTCTTTGTCATGTGAGATTACTTGAACACACTAACAAAGACATTGTTCTGTTAGATCAAAAACTGTTGTCTGTGAGATAAATTGAACCCACTAACACAAATCGTGTTATGTGAGATTACCTGAACACACTAACAAATACTTCATTCTGTGAGATTACCTGAACACACTAACAAAGACTGTGTTCTGTGGGATTACTTGAACACATTTACAAAGACTTCGTTCTGTGAGATTACCTGAACACACTACCAAAGATTGTGTTGTGTGAAATAACTTGAATATACTAGCAAAGACTTTATTGTGTGAAATAACTAGAACACCCAAACAAAGGCTTTGTTCTGTGATATTACTTGAACACGCTAACAAAGACTTTTTCTGTGAGATAAATAATACACACTAACAAAGACTGTGTTCTGTGGGATTACTTGAAACCACTAACAAAGACTGTGTTCTGTGGGATTACTTGAACACACTAACAAAGACAGTGTTCTGTGGGATAACTTGAACCAACTAACAAAGACTGTGTTCTGTGGGTTTACTTGAAAACACTAACAAAGACTTCGTTCTGTGAATTTAGCTGAACAATCTACCAAAGATTTTGTTCT